TAGAACGTTAACTATTGTAATTTAAAGGAAATTTTATGCAATTTATTTTTAAATTTACCTTCTTTTTTAAATTTGATCGTACATGTGATTCCCTTGACGTTTACAACATTCGGTCAACATACATAAAAATTTTGCAAAACTTTCGTAAGAGTTACCTTGAAATGGATTCAGGATGGATGAATGCTGCAGAGTTTTTGGATTTTTAGAGTACCTATACTCTGCTCATAATGCAACCCCACAAAAAGAAGTATGGTGGAATGAGATTAGGGCTTCTTAGTGGCAATGAGATTTCACCCCTGCTTTATTGGTTTGTTACCTACATCGAAAGGATGATTAATTTTTGAGAGCGCTATACTGGCATGCTGAAAAGCTTTTTGATTTCAAAGTGGCAAGATTCCCAAGGCTATGACAGGAGCACTTGGTTTCATCAAGATGGGGCTACGTGTCACACTTCAAATGAGAGCATTTAGATGGTAAGAGACATGTTCCCACAAAAAAATAATTTCAGGCAGGGGTGACATCTCCTAGCCACCAGGAAACCCTGATCTCACTCCAGAAAATTCCTTTTTGTGGTGTTACATTAAGAATAGAGTATACTTTCATAATCCAACAACCATGCAGCAACTGAAGCTGAACATTCGGCAAAAAATGGAAAATAGGTATCGAGGTAATTCTAACGAACGCTTTTCAAGATTTTGATGTATGTTGATCGAATGTTGTAAGCGTCAAGGAAATCTCTTGGACGATGTAATTTAATAAAGGTAAATTTAAAAATAAATTTTATTTAATTTTCTTTGAATTGTAATGAATAAAGTTCTTCAAAATTATACAGAATATTTTTCCTTGAATTTTCAATTGCAGTTTGGCAGTGCTGCGTGGTTGGAGCGCAGGCCCGCGTTCATTTGGTGACACACTTCAATCAAAGAGTTTCTTGTATAATACAACTTGCGCGGGCCCGCATTCTGGGTCTGTAGAAGCCTTTAAGAATCAATTGATATTGTTTAATATTATTACGATTATGTGAGACCGCCTGCCGGCATTTGCCGTCCCACCAGTCCAGGCGCCGTGAATTAGATAGATACCTACATGTTTAACAAAGGGTGTAAAGGACTAGCTAGGTAAGCAAATTTTTTATGATGATTGGTAGCGGTAAGCAGGCAGAATAGAATAGGACCATTACCAGCCCACTCATTCCGTGGATATCATAAAAGGCGATTTTAAGGGTTTGTCCCGTGTTGCAAACATCAGGCAGCAGGCTGGCTTCTATGTGGTAAAGGTCGGACCTGACTGACGACCGTAGGCCAAACCAAATCCTTAATAACCCTCTGCTAAATTAGTCGTGCTTCGGCATTTGAGACTAAAAGACCTGATGATAAAGTGTAAACAGAACTTCAAGTTACCTCAGGCACTATCACCAGCTAATCATATTTTGTGTATTTTATTTCAAATATTTCAATAGATTTATGATAAAATTATTGATTGAATATCTTATACATTTGACTAGCTCAGCGAAGCGTGTCCGAATCGCATACTTATGGTCCCTTCACGCCGTTTATGAATTTATTGGCCATTGTTCTCTAATTAAGTTTTATAACTATCAAAAGATCAACAGCAGAACTGTCCGAGTTACGAGCCCACACACATACTTCTAGTATCGAATGCTGCCATATTTGTAATAATATCTATTACTTATTAATAGAAAATTGAAAGTTTGTTTGGTTGAACGTGCTAATCTACTGGTCCGAATTAATAAAATATCTTTGTGTTGGATAGTCTATTTATCCAAGAAGGTTTGATAATATTTTAACATCATAGACTAAGAGCTAGTGAACGCCAGACCTACGTTATTTCATAAAAGCTGAAAGTCAGCGTATGCTCCCAATATAGGATATAATGTTGGTGAATTATGAAGTTTAGGTCATCGTGGCTTTGGGAGCTACCCAAAAAAAACTGTCTCGCTGGGAGTTGGAACTGTCAAAACTGTCTGGCTGTTGGGTAAAATACTTCTAATTATTGCCCAAATATTATACATAAAAAATCATATTTTATGGTATAACGTATGTCTAACTTTTATACCATTAAATCTGATTTTTATGTATAATATTTATCTGGCGTCCACTAGCTCTTACTCTATTACAGTACGGCCAACAAGAACATCAATGAAAAGTGTTGCCAAAATGAGAAAAGCTATACAAACTATTTTCGCGCGTACGAAGTCGCGGGCATAGTCAGTATACTTAAATTTAAAGTTCTGCTTGCTCTTCCTAAAGATTTGCATGACTACGCGAACAATTAGAACATGTATCTGTTTACAAATATATTTTTCCTTCACAATGGAAGATTTGTTAATTTTGTGTATGCTTCCATGTCGTCGTGTGGGTGTTCCTTTTCAGCCTCACTGTTTTTGTGTTTTCTCATCATTCCGCTTCATATTGTTTATAATAAAGCTATCTACATTGACAGCCTTTCTCAAAATAGACTCTCCTACAGACTCTAAAGAATCCTAATCTGATTTTTATATTCTCATCACATTTTGCAGAAAACAGTTTTTTTTTATGTGATAGGAGGCAAACGAGCAGACGGATCACCTGATGGTAAGTGATTACCGTCGCCCATAGACACCCGCAGACCCAGAGGCGTTACAGGTGCGTTGCCGGCCTTTAAGATAAAGATACGCTCTCCTCTTAAAAGCTTGCAGGTCGTATCCGTCCGGAAACACCGCAGACGACAGTCCATTCCACAGTTTGGTTGTACGGGGCAGGAAGTTTCTAGAGAAACGTACAGTTGTGGACTGTCAACCATCTAAGTGATGGGGGTGGAAGTGCTGTCGGGAAGATCGGTGGTGAAAAGTGGCGGCAGGAATAAGTCCGGATAATTCTTCGGAGCACTCCCCGTGATACATGCGATAGAAGATGCACAGTGAGGATACATCTCTACGCAGCGCCAAGGGGTCAAGCCGATCCGAAATGTCCTGGCAGTCAACGATTCGAGCTGCTCTCCGTTCAATGCGGTCCAGAGGGAGAAGCTGGTACTGGGGCGCACCTGCCCAAAGATGAGAACAGTATTCCATATGAGGCCGAACCTGCGCCTTGTAAAGTTGCAGACGATGGGCTGGAGTGAAATACCGTCTCGATCTATTGAGCACACCAAGCTTCTTCGAGGCTAATTTAGCCTTACCCTCTAAATGACCACGGAACTGGACTTCGCTCGATATGTCGACACCAAGGATTCCGATATTGGCTGAGGCAGTTAGGGGAGTGCTCTCGAAACAGTTTGCTTGATGTCACGGATAATACTCATTAGATTAACCTTTATGGACCTAAGAATAATAATATGTATCTAAACGGAACAGTACGTTGTTAATGTGGCGCGATTCTCCTCGTACGCGAACCGTGGACCTCCACAGGGTTCTATAATAGTGCCAGTTCTTGACAATTTTCAAAATGATCATCACTGCTTTGAAGAAAATACGTTCGATTTTATACATAGACTAAACACCCAGTTAACTGACACTGTTTAAATCTTAGTTTTCGGGGTAGTTGAAAATCCTAGAGTTTCAATTTTAAACATTATTTACAGAAAATGAACCATTAAATAAATAAAAAATTAAAATGTAACAACATTGTTTTATTTTGTATGGAAATCGGGGTACATTGATAACACCGATAATAGTTAATTGCATAATAACACTATCTAATATAGTATACAGTTTAGTTCTACTACAGGTTTAAATTATTCGATAAATAAACAAACAAATGCACGTTACATCTTCATCAAAAGAAAAAATACTACAAGATTTTTTCACTAAAGGCAAAATTTAAAAATTGTAAGTAAATATTGACGAAGCATAATAAATAATCACGTGTAACAACGTTTTGTACAACTAAGTAAGTCGGAACCCAGAAAAGTACTGTCGAAAGCTTATCCTACTTAATATGGTTTAAAAGCAACGAAATAATGATGAAACGACAATACAACATCCATTATGTACAACAAATAATTTATATGTTTAAGTAGTATGTCGTATTTATTCACGATATTCGATAAATGTAAATTATTTATAATTTGCACAAAGCCAAAACGTACTTCGATGTCGAAAAAAAAATTTCGTAATTACTAATCAATCCTTATAGGAAGGCAACTGTGGTGCCGCAAAAATAATAATTAATTTAGTTTTGTATCACAACCTACATTGACAAAAAGGCATAAAAACATAGATGAATTTCGACACAACATCTATAAGACAAAAAGGGATAAAAACATAGATGAATTTCGACACAACATTTATAAACATGTATGTATATGGAAAAATATCACAATGTAATAAAATATTGCTCTAAGAGCGCGACACTACATCATACATAATTAACACTCACGCATAATAGATTTTGCAAAAATGTATTACATAAGCCACACCTAAAATTGTGTATTATGTTACTTTAACATAACAAGTGCAAGTATTTTGTTACCCACCAGGCTCTTGCCTCCTTTCAGAAAGCTTTACAGAAAAAAAAATTAGTTTGTGAACAAATATTCGTCCTCGCTAACATTGAAAATTTACTCGAAACGTGCAAGTGTATTCATGTAATCACAGAGCAAATGTAATTACCATCGTCGTGGTTCAAGAAACGTCGCATAAGCTGGTAGGGAACAGAATCAACTTAAAAGTAATTGGTGTACATCTCTAATTCCTAAGGAAGACTACTAAATACAGGTTATGTTGGAGTAATTTACCAAGGAACAATACATTGTTACTAAAATGTTTGCTTATTTTAAAATGTGTGTCTTTAAGACGTACAAGAGAATCCATTCAAATTTTCTTGATAAGCAGCTTCCTCTATGGTCACGTTAACCAAGTCATTGAAATTATAGATAAGACACATAGTATAGCTACCGTAATTTAAAAGCTAAACACACTAATTCTTTGGTCTGGGCTAGTTATACAACATTATTGCAATTACATGTCCAAGTTTGTATTATTTTTATATTTTTAGTTTCTATGTAAAATATAAGAGCACTAAGCTTTATGAATTAAATTTAATTTATCCTACGCTAAATATGTTTTCATACTTCTTTTTAAGGTGAATATCGGAAACAACGGTTGACCACATTCGCAGGTATAATATAGTAGTATATTGTATTTCAGTCCGGCTACATAATATTATACATAAACCTAATTGAATAAAAGGTAAAGGGGCATTTTTCCTTTAGCCTTTAACAGCGTAGCAACAGCATGTTAAAAATTTATGAAATTTGGCCATGGCTGTTTCTTTGATGGCTATGACGAATATAAAACAAGTGAATATACATAAATTAATTCCGTGCTGTCACCGAAGCCAGCTCAGATATCAATAGCTCCCTCATAGAAAACCTTCTTTCCGCTAGTTCCTACAGAAACAGGCTAGGTTCAGATATGGACCATGCTGTGCCAATTTTCCCTTTATTTTATGTCGATTTTGTGTTTTTTAAGAAATTTAAGTAATCATACGCTATGACTTTTAGTGATACTCGTAGTGATATTAATGAAATAAAGGCTGATCGTGCAGATTGAACAAGGATCATAAATATTGTGTGCTCTTGACAGAACTTGACCTGCATTGTGTAGACAGCTAAGACAATCCTTCGCAGAAAATAACAACGAAGTGACGTTATGTTAATAGAATATTGAAGAAAAAACTTACAATTGAATAAGATTCTTGTTAACCTGTGTTTAAAATGGAATGTTCTACTAGCTGCCTTCAGTCCACTGAGTAGCCACAACAGTATTCTGGATTCCGGTACGTCGTGTATCGATGCCTGCGATGCGATGCGCTCAGTTGCCTGATCGGAGGCCGTTTGCGCGCTGTGGTCGCGTGCACCGCTGGGATCTTAATTTTCAGGACCTATTCTTTATCCTATGATCTGTAAAAAGACAATAACCACTTAAAATGATTGTAGATGTAAGCAAGTAATACTATTATTATCTGAAAGCTGATCTCCCCTGCCCTTTTGTCCCTATGTCTGAGAGACTTCCACCTGGACATGAGCTCCCCTGGCTTACCTGGAAGTCTTTAAATAGACTTCGGACGCAGGTTGGCCGTAGTAAGGACAATCTGGCCAGGTGGGGATTCTTGGATGGCTTGAACATGGAGTGCAGGTGCGGTTTTGTTCCCCAGTCGATGAGGCACCTGATGTCATGCCCTGAGTGCCCAAGCAACTGCACTCAGGAGGATTTGATGAGTGCTACTGACAACGCCACTCTTGTGGCGGAGTTTTGGGCTGACACTGTGTAGGTTTGTTGTCGACACGACAAGAAGACTATTATTATTATAAGACTTTATTGCACATTAAAAATTATACAAAAGGTGGACTTAATGCCATAAGCATTCTCAGCCAGTCAACCCCTGGGTTATGCAGAAAGCTGTGAGTGCGGTACTAGTTAAATCAGTATGTGAAGAGAAAGAAAGAAAAATACAAGTTTTAATTGATATATTATTTAAGATACATACATAGATACATATGTAAGAGTATTGCATTAAGTTAAAGCACATATAACACTGTTTGTTTGCTTGGTTAGCTTGTACCAAAATAAGTTTGTAATATTACTATGAGGATAATAGTGCTGGTTGCGTAATAGTATAAGTTTATTTAATGTTCAGCAGTTGTATTTGCAATATTGCACAATTGTTTGTTATCCCAAATAAAATAAAATAAATAAATAAATAGTTATACCAATTTAAATATAACCCCCTTTACTAATTACAAAGTGAGTTAGTATTAAGGATAGATCGCTCTTTGAGTCAATTTATCTAATAATGCGTTTACTAAATTGCCAGTTTGATATTGACCTTTTAGATTTGAGGTAAAAAGAAATAAGGAAGTCTAATAAAAATATTTTTATTATGATTTGTTTTGATACTAATAAACTGTTTGTTATAACAATAATATAAGACATAAACTTTAATTGATTGTTGATATTACAACTTTGTGAGTGGAGACCTAAGGCCCTTGGCTCACGGCGACTTTTTTTAACGTGCGTCAGTCGCATATGCAACGCGCTACAGGGCTTATTGACGGGGACTAATCCCCGTTGACGGGGATTGTCAACGGGGAATAGTGAACTTTTTGTTCACTATTGCCCGTTATTATAGGATTTTATTTTTAACATTATAAGCTCCAATTGGCCTTAACGGGGAATAGTGAACAATAAGTTCACTAGTCCCCGTTGACGGGGATTGTCAATGGGGAATAGTGGAATAAGCCGCGCTACAGAAGTGATGCCAACGCGCTACTAACGCCCTACAGTATCGCGTGTGTATCGAAGCAAGCGCGCGATGTAATTTTGTGCCGCGCGTTTGTATCGTGATAGAAGCACCATAGTGCGTTTGCATAACGCTGGGTGCCCTCGCCCATATAAACACGATTTGTTTATATGGGCGAGGGCACCCAGCTAGCGCAGAATCGCTAAAATCAAGTGGCAGTGGGCGGGGCACATAGCTCGAAGAGCTGATGGCCGCTGGGGCAGGAAAGTTCTTGAGTGGCGACCACGAGCTGGAAGACGTAGCGTGGGCAGGCCTCCCACTAGGTGGACTGACGATCTGGTGTAGGTCGCGGGAGGTACCTGGATGCAAGCGGCGCAGGACCGGTCTTTGTGGAAATCCTTGGGGGAGGCATTTGTCCAGCAGTGGAAATCTTTCGGCTGAAACGAACGAACGAACCCAGCTAGCGACCGCATTGCAACTGTATCGGTGCGAACACGCGACAGAATCACTACTGCATCGCTACAAAAGTCGTTGTGGATGAGAGGTGGTAAGTTAAATATTTTATGCTTGTGTTACGAGTGGGCTCATCACAAGTCCTTCGCGTTCCTCGGATCTCGAGTCGGCCAATTCGACCCCTACAGCACCGTTTGGCTATCGTGACTTCTAAAAGTTACGTCACAGGCTTCTTGAATTGTCGACAAAATAGTGACATCACAGGCTTGTATTGCAATAAAAAATCTATGGCAGTCTCGCTTTGACAGTTTTAAAAAGTACGTCAATTGATTGGTGGTGTCCACAGATCACAGAAACTAAAGGGAGATGTGACAAGGGGGCGGGGCCGGTGTCGCAGCAATATGCCCAAAAACAGAACACATTGCTCGTGACAGCAATTATGACAGCAGCGATGTCATAATGTAAACAGTTTACATTGCTTGCGTAGTACTAAAGATTATTCGAACGTTGAGTACTGATATCGCAGTGGATAATGAGCACATAATAATATTTTGATTACCTTGTGTGTGTGAATTTCTAATACGACACTGAGTTTCGAACTCAGCGCATAAGTTGGCATATTTCTATAATATGTTACTCTATGGCGGTGTCAGATAGTGTATTGTCACGTGTATAGCCTGGTCTGCGAGTACGTAAAATTTTGTCCAATGACCCCAAGCTACCCATCCTTATCGCTCGCGCGTAATTATGTTGCTGTCACGCTCGCACACTCACTGCGGGCGCCCGTCGTCGCACAGTCGCGACAGCAATATAATTGCGCGCGAGCGATAATGATGGGTAGCTTGGGGTCATTGGACAAAATTCTACGTGCTAATAGACCGGGCTTTACACACTTACTGTTGCGCGGCAGGACGAGGGCCTGTGTGTCGGCGACGGTGCAGCAGTGCAGATTGTTGTGGAACATGTACTGGATGGTGAGGTGCTTGTCGTCGCCCACGCACGGGTCGTAGAACCCTGGAAGCTCCGACTGGAAGACAACAGATACGATGGTAAGTTAGAGCAGTGTTCCGCAAAGGGTGTACCGCGGGCCGGCACACTGGTGTACCCTGGTCATTAGATGACCTCGGAAAAATAAGACTATCTTGTAAACTTATTTTTAGTATGTAAGGCTAGTGCCCGTTTTCACCATCAATCCCTAATTTTTAAGTGACCCTTATGGTAACACATAACAGGAATTTTCTTTTCATTGGGGTCACTTAAAAATTAGGGATTGATGGTGAAAACGAGCATAAGACTAATAAAGATAATTACCTACTTTTAAAAAATTCATGAGTGGTGTACCTCCAAAAAATTTGGATTACCTAAATGTACCTTGAACACAAACATTTTGCGGAACACTGAGTTAGTATTAAAATGACGTCATAGCGAGTGCTAAACAAAGTCGTATCTCAAATGCATAGTATTTTACATAAGCAAGACACCTGTCATCCGTTGTCCTAGGTCAGTGTTTTTCAACCTTGGGGGGTCGCGAAGCTTCTATAAGAGGGTCGCGAGAGGTCGTAAAAACTACCTCGTATTCGGTCCCTAAAACATGTCGACGGTGTCACGGTCCCGAACAGTCGTGGAGTCGCAAAATATTTTTTCATACTAGGGGGGTCGTGTCACAAAAAGGGTTGAAAAACACTGTCCTAGGTGAACGTTAAGCGACAGCGCACACTAGACGTCGGTCGCTGTCGCGTGTCGCCCATATCCCGATGGTAAAATATCAAAAAACCATTGTGTTTTATATTGGTTGTAGTGGCAGTGGGCAGGAAACATAACTCGTAGAAAAAAACAGAAAAGTTCTAGAGTGGCAACCACGAGCTGGAAGATGTAGCGTGGGTAGTAGGCCTCCTACTAGGTGTACCGATAATCGGATGAAGGTCGCGAGAAGAGCCTGGATGCGGGCAGCGCAGGGCCGTTCGTTATGGAAATCCTTGGGGGAGGCCTTTATCCAGCAGTGGACATCATTTGGCTGAAACGAACGAGTTGCGTGTCATGATATTTATGTCATTGTCACTTGAAGAATCTATTGGTCGCATTACGCCGCGTTGCGTCGCGCTGCTTCATGCCGCATGATCTTAGCAACCAATTGTTAGTTGTAAATAGTAACGCGACTGCTACGCCAACCAATCACAGCGCCGCGTTCAGTTACAGGTGGCGCAAGTTTGCATACATTTTACGCAACCGGTTGCTAAGATTCGTAATAACCCCGCGGGTCAGTTATGCGTTATACCTGTTACGTTATTACCTTGTAGAGATGGGTTATACTAGGTAAATTTGATACTAGGTGCACCTATTCCTAGTATTTATTAATACTCGATCCAAATACCTATTCCACCTAGTACGTAGTAATTTAGCATACTTGACGCGACTAGTGCGGACTAATCCACGTAATATGACTTTAAAATAAAATTTTCTTTGAAAAGATACAACCGTAGTAGTTATGAATAATGCAATTTGAAATTGAATAATAATGTTTTTGCTGGGTGTTGATTGATTGATATCCTCCCTTAATACTTCGTATGGCGTATTTAAAAGATATCAATTTCATAAAAATATTAACATTTTTTTTTCTTTTTTACATGAATATGGTTTGACTACGTTTGTGTGCGTTTGCTTCGTCGCGCTCAAATTTGTTTGGTCAGACAGAGACGGAGTGAATCTCTACGTTCGCACATAAGCTTAGCGAGAAATACTAGGTGCGCGTAATACACGACTACGGATTACGCAATAATAACCTCTATTACTTTGATAGTAGGGTCGGAAATCATGTAATTTATAAATTATAAAATACTAGGTGGATCAAGTATTTAAAAAAATTGGAATAGGTGCCGCTTAGTGCTGAAAAATACAAAATACGTCTCATCTCTATTACCTTGCTAGCCTCCAGCAGTTCCAGTCGGGAGTCCTTGACGAGGCACTGTATGGGGATGGTGACGTCGATCACCTCGCTGTAGGGACTCGGCGACTCTGGCGCCACGCCGTCGCCCGTCTGCTCTGCCGACACCTCGTGGCTAGTCGCACCTACGAACAAAACCCGAGATGTAACAGCTATGAAATTTTGTATCACGAAATCTCTGAAACTACAAGTGCTATGCTGTATCAAATTTTGCATGGTAATGGTAAGTACTAGGCATGGAAATGATTGCTATTTTTCATTCATTTTCATTCTATGAAATGATGATTTTTGTTCATATGATTTCACATGTGAAATTTCACAGGCAATGATTTTTATTCGCAGTGTTATAATGTAGCTCTTTCATATTATTATAATATGCTACTTTTAATGAAGTGTGAATTATGATGAACGATTGCTAATTAGCTAAATTGAAATGTAACAACATCTGTTTCATTTTATGTCGCACAACAAAAAACAAACAGTTTTACAGCACAGCATGTATGCAACAATCCATAACCGCGCGACTAGTGAAAAATCATTCATTTCATCTGCCTGCTATCTAATGAAATCATACGAATCGTGACAAGGAAATCTAAACCTTACACCTTTGAGTTTAAAGTTCATATTTAAAATGCCCAGTTTTGTCCGTCATCACATCTCTCGTCCTTTTCTAACACGCACATGATCAAAATCATTCCTTCTTACTCGCTCGGTCGCTTCGCAGAGCTGCGCTCACGGACTTCGCTCGAATGAATGAATGAAATTCATGTGATTCGTGATTTCGTTGACTGTGAAATTATAGCAGTCTATGTGAAGTAAAATAGCAGGAGTGATTAATGAAATTCATTTCATATGATTTTTCACCTGCTATTCATGAAATGTTCCATGCCTAGTAAGTACGTAGGTCGCTAAGACGGGATTTTATAAAACGGTGTCCACGCGTACGAAGTCGCGGATGGCCGCTAGTAGTGGGAATATTTATTAAACCCATTCCCTTGTCTTAAGTCATATAAGATAGCAATGTCCGTGAAATAGTCATTGTTAATTAAAAAATATATTAATTAATAACATGTTTTAATTTTAACGTTGTCAACAAGGAATTGACGTTGGTTTTTGCATGTGAGCAATGCAAGTTGTATTATAAAAAAATTGGAAATACCTGAAGGCAATTTTCCGTACACAGCCTTTATAATAACTAATCCCTTCTTCTTCTCCTCATCGCTCCTGATCCTGGAGTAGGTCTCTCTCATCAACTCTACGGTTGCTCTCGCCTGCCGCTGCATTTCTTGCAACCTAAAAAAACAATCATTTAACAAATTGTTAGATACAAGTAAACTTGGAATACTATTTTAAATATTTAAATCTAGAAAATATGATCTCCTTCCATAAAGCATGTTGTAAAGTCAGTGAAATAGTTTGTGAAACCCAAAGTGGCCAAAAAGTTGACAGCACATCCTTTTTCTAATTGTAATAAAGACGTGTTGCGAATTTTTTGGCTAGTTTGATATTGGTTGTCACGAACTATTGGACGCTGACTGTACCGATTAATTGAAGTCATTTTCCAAGTTCAAGTTACCAAAAATACTAAAATTCCCATTTGACATTTTATTGTCATTTCGGCCAACTTATTAATAAGCCAGTAGGAGAACCAAGAACATAGCTGACCATATCTTGCGGAAATTTCAAATTTAAGTGGGCAGTGAGCGGGGCACATAGCTCGAGAGCTGATGGCAGTCGGGACAGGAAAGTTGGGTAGACCTCCTACTTAGTGGACCGATGATCTGATCTGGTGAAGGTCGCGGAAAGCTCCAGGTGCTTCAGGCACCATAGGACTGGTTGATAGGGAAATGAGGCCACTCTCAGTTAGTTGAAACAAACATACCTTTCATAATTGGCCTCCATAGATCGCTGTCTCTCGCGCTCCTGCCGCTCCCTGGCGATCGGATCCAGTACCAGTTTCTTGAGAACCAGCCAGGAGACGATTGGCAAGACAGTCGCGTAAAACACTGGCGATGGCATCACTTCTTCGCATAGATGGATGGGGACGACTATGGTTTGCGACGAACAAGTCCATCTAAAACGTGAAAATTATAAATAAGTGATATTTTTATCAATTAAATCAGAGTACTTTATTTGTATAATTTTTTATTAGGTAATAATTAAGCGACTTGTCTGTTACTAATTAAAGTTTCTGTTAGATAAATAATTATCACACTTATTTGGAATTATTCACAAATTATTAAAATAAACGGAGTTTTACAATAAACGCAAACTTTATCATCATTTTAAAAGAGGTGCATTTTAGTCGGCCTTACATATTGTAACAACGATCAATCTGCTACGTTATTTCTTACTAGCTTTCCGCCCGCGGCTTCGCCCGCGTGGAATTTTGTCTGTCACATAAAAACTTTATCGCGCGCGTCCCTGTTTCAATAATCGGGATAAAAACTATCCTATGTCCTTTCCCGGGACTCAAACTATCTCTATGCCAAATTTCATCAAAATCGGTTCCGTGGTTTAGGCGTGAAAGCGAGACAGACAGACAGAGTTACTTTCGCATTTATAATATTAGTATGGATTGTTTCAAACCAATCAGGACCTTGTTCGACAAAAACATTAGATAGTGCAAGAATAAGGTTGATTTGTTAGTCTTATTTATTTCTTTGTAACTTAGACCTCAAAACAAGTATGGATGTCTAAGAGCAATATTGTGGTGTTCGCTTGCAAAGAGAGGTAAAATAGGTTGAAAAAGTATTAATATTCAATTCCTTGCCTTTGAACTTTACACTAAGATTTTTTATATGTTTATCAAATGACTTTTGATGACTAAACTTTGTGTTAAGACAATGAAAGCAGTTGCAGAAATATAATAAGATCATAATAAGGACTGGGGCAGAAATTAAAATATGTTGTTATTTAAACTTACTTCAATTTGAGCATTACTCCACTAGGTACGCCTAACATGACTGCAGCTGAGACGCTACTGTTTTGTGACACTTTTTTCTCGGCCCCATATTCAGCAATTGCCCCAAATGTACCAAACCTGCAACAAACAAATATTGATCTCAATAAGTAGATTGGTTGTCTTAGGAAGCTAAATAAAAATTAATAAAATTTCATATTTTAACCAATTTATTAATTTAATGTTCAGAATTAATTTTATTTTAATCTGAAAAAACATAAGTGCTAAATGATACAACAGTAGAACGGAATGATTACTTTGGTATCAACTGACGTGGTCAAAATTTAATTATTGCTAAAATAGTCTAAGCTACAATGACTCGAGAGAAATAAAAATAGTAAACATAGAGTTCCTCCAACATAGAGTGAGACGCAAGATCCGGGTCTTGCGTCTCACTCTATGTTGGAGGAACTCTGTGAGGAAGTGGCTCACTTCGAAGTGAGCCACTTCCTCACAGGCTTTCAAGCGTGGCATTGTCAAAGCCTGAGGCGCGGCTTCAACTGAATGTCCAGACATCTAACATCTTAGATTTTGGCTTTCAGAGAATTATGACGTAAGGAGTACTCCAAAAACCACTATCACAGATCACGTTTACAGCTAGAGGATACAATACATGACAGCTAAAGCATATCCCCGACGTAAAAAAATGCAAGCTTAATACATAGGAAACAGGAGTTACAGCGGGGAACGAGAGATGGGAATAGTCCCGTACATAGAAAACTTAAATGCTGTCGTAACGTCACTCGTCAAATGATGGTAAAAAATAAGTTAACAGCGCGAATCATGAATTCATTGATTTTTTTATGTTTAGAATAATCATTTATGACTATTCTTGATGGAAGATGGGGTCCAAAGAGTCACGTTCTATCGTTGTGTCACCATCGCACTTATATTTTTTTCACAATGAGGTCAGTAATAATACTTTTTTTTGAAATAATTGTAAATGTTTTTGAGCTCAACAAAGGATAATGTTATAATAACGTTAATTTAATTGCAAATAATTAAGGAAGCTGTTGTAAATTAAATTATGACTAAGCTTTTGTCAGATTCATTCGCCAATGCAACATCCTTTAAAAGACCTTTCGCATGTAAGCTTGTGATTATTAACATTATGCCAGGACAATAATAGATAAAATAGATTCGCAATTGCATATGCATACATGCTAAATTTCATTTACAAGTATTCAACAATAATAAACAACTAATAACACAATGTAAAAAGATATTTTATGTATTAACATACACATAAAAATGATCAGATTAAAAAAAACGGTTTCCAGACATCCTAAAAATTGAAGAATATACACTCGTCGTCAAATAAATCGCACCTCCCACGACAAGCACTTTGAAACGTATGCATCCCCACTTCCCACCAATATTGACACCATTTAAAAGCCTAGTTCTAAACTTCATTTCGTTAAAGGAAAGGTTTTTACCTTAAAAATGTGTCTTTAGAAGGATCCAGAGTCACTTCTTCAAAAAATAGGTAGTTACGTTTGAGCCAACTTTTATGGCAATAAAACTGTTAAGTTGGGATTAATCGCTATCCATCTGTTAAAGAGGACACGTGTAATCATTATTTGGTTTTATAACCATAAAATTTGGTCTAATTGATCCCAGAAGTGAGCCCAAAGTGAGGTCTTCTTTCAAGTCACATTTATGGTATATGTTAATCTTTTATTAAGAAATTAAATGTGTTTTTCTTTAAGGATATTTATTGGGCTTTCAAATAACACCAATATTGTCGGGGTACCATGATTGTATCAGAAGAAAATCTTTAAAGTTCGCGTCGCGGAAGGTGCGGTTTATTTGATGTTGAGTGTATAAGATAGCTTACTTGAGAGCCAACCGCAACTTCATGTCATGCTGAGGCAGCTTCCGCATAACATTGAATGATATGAAAGAATGAGGGTTGCCAATCTGAATGGCGGTATTCGTGTGGTATTTCTCAGAATCCCGCACATATATGGATGTCATTGAGGAACCACCTTGACCACCCGCCCGATATGTGAGGTACCCAACAGAATGCGCATCCAACTGAAGTGCCATAGCTGTAACAATACAGATTTAAGTTTAGTAGAAACAATTTTTATTATATGGGCTTTATAGTATAAATTCGTAAACAACTTACTTGATATCAGACTCGGTGATATTCCTCTAGGTGTAAACTGTAAAACAGTTCCGCAGTTTAAGAACATTAGACGAGACAAGGTGCGAAACACTTTAAATCCTAACAATGGTCCATTACCAATGCCAAGCTCCACCTCTGTCCAACCTTTCTCTGAACTTAAATGACGGTTACACATATTCACCGATCCGGTACCTGAAATCATATTTACATTCTTTTAGTTACCTTTATGAGAGAATCTTGACAGTTAATATTCAAGTATGTGCACAATTGAGTTATAAATAAAAAGAATATTAAGAAAGAAATACTGAAATACCTATTCCGTTCTGAGTGGATATATTTCCAGATAATGTCATAGTGTTTCTTAAAGTGACAGGAGCATCAATGGATTGCTGAATATTCATCCCGGATACTTCAATACTGGGAATGATTGTTGTGTCTTCCCTGTGGAACACATATTAATTATTTTAATCAGGAGATTAAAATGCATGTACAAGTACAGTCACGGAATGAAAAGGTTCGTCAGTTTTCAAATTGATTCCTTCAACGAATCGCGAACACATATTACCTTTTGAAACGATGTTACAGAATAATGTCGAGTTAGAGAAAATAATCTTTAACTGTTCGTCAGTAAAGTTCAAAATTATTGATCAAAGTTGTTTGACGATTTATCTTGTCAAGAAGATTATTATATTTATTATAATTGATAAACTAAAACCTTCTTGTTGGTTCAACCTGCCATTATTATTTCTATTAAATAAAAAAAACTATTGTCAATTGGTCAATGTCATCATTGCATTGCACTGATGGGATAGAAAAATAAACAAGCAAAACCTTATTCGTTAGCAAACGTCATATTTATTTGAATGTTAGCAGCACTGTTTCTTGCACTGTTATGTTGGCAGGTTTGACTCTTACAGTACCTAGTGCAAGCGAAAACCAGGGTGGATAAAAATCACGATTTTTTTATTTTAATCAAAAAAATCAGATTTTTTTTAAAAAATCACGATTTTTTTTATTAATTTGATTTTTTTGATTTTTATTAGGTTCTGCGATCATTTCTTTAGTTTTTCTTACGGAATACATTTTTATTTACGTAGAATTGATGTATGGAGCAGGCAACACCGCCAAAAAAAATTAATTATGTGGTTATCTGAAAAATCGCAAATGTGATTGTATGGAAAAATTAAATTTTTCAGATTCTCCATACAAAACGACAATTTCATACATTAATACCTAATATTAACATTGTTTTCGAACATTACAGTTGATTAATATTAACTTCCAGCCTTTCATTAATTCCATTTTCGGTCATTGATTTAAATCAATGATTTTTATTTAAAAAATCATGTAATAAAAATCGTGATTTAAATCATGATTTAAATCAACTTGATTTAAATCATGCAACCCTGGCGAAAACCAACACTAAGGTGACGAACCTTTTCATTCTGCGACTATACATGCATTTCTTGTCATAATCTAAAATACTACTAAAGCGGACTAAAGTATGTAGGTAGAATCACCGTGCAATAAATCCGCGGAATAGTAAAAAAAAAACGTATGTAGTGCTTAACTGAGACAGTGCCTGAGGTATGGGAGCGGCACCAGAGGGGTTTATGCTCAGAATGCCAACTTCTCAAAATGCCAACCGCACACAAAATGACAACTTCTCAGAATGCCAACTTCTCGAAATGCCAACTTCGCGAAATGCCAACTTCTCAAAATGTTACTTACTTATTTACTTATTTAGTTACTTATTCCAATTTTAGATGTTATCTAATAAATAATTCATTTATTTTATCGTATTTTTAGTACCCAACTTGAGGATAATTCTACAAAAACCAGTCTGGTATGTGTCAGATAAATTATAAGCACCTCCTTAGAATGTGGTCAAGGTATATCTATGTGATTGTTATATTGAGATGAAATTATGATAGATTGATTTAATTTAAATTAAAAGTTGGACAATGCTTGTATTGTAACTCAAACTTTTAAGTTACTAAAGTAAATAGACAGTTGGACAACTTACAGAATTTCATATTCATCATAATATTTCATAAACAAATCAGTAGCATTGACCGACAGGGTTATAGTGCCTCGTGGGTTTGCACTCTGCTGAAGTCTTCTCTCTTCTCTTTCTCTCTTTAACCTGTAATTTCAAATAAATTTATAATAGACAAGTAAATTAATTTAGAGATGACTACTAAGTTTCAAAGAAAATGTAACAATTTTGACCTTTCATATTCCTCTCGTATTTCTCTTGGAGTGCGAGTACGGAAAATTACTTCCCAACCATCTACTTCCAAGCCGCGCTTTCCTGAAATTAAATATTATACTTTAATTAAAAATCGTAATTTGTAACTTGCACTCATCATGTTATCAAGGATTTTGTCATGTAAACAACTTGAGGGTACTACTAGAAAAAAATTGTCTGATACTTAGAGTATGCAAGCTATGCTGAAAATTATCTTTAAACAATTAGATTTATTAAAAAATAAGACACAATCGTTTAATTCTCACCTAATGTATCATAGATGGCTCGCTTATGCGAGTCTGAAAGCACCTCATATGCCTCCTTCACTTTGTTGAATATTTGTTCAGCCCATTTTTGCTTGTTAGGATCTGTGCTGTGTTTGTCAGGGTGAAACATACGCGAGAACCGGCGATATGCGCTATTTATTTCTTCTGGTGTTGCCTGTTTGTACAAGAGAATACATAACATTGTCTTCAGACAATATTGAAGAGCAGAAAACCCTACATAGTTCATACACTCTGACCGAAATTTTTATCTACAAAATTACTATCAACACAAATTACAAAGTAGTAACAATTTAAGATTTTTAAAAAATCTTTGAAACTGTTACAAGTTGCAACCATTGCATACAAATTCTAACCTCTAAGACCAGACTCAACTTCGATCTTATTAGATTCGGAATATTTAATGTTATACATATTTAAAATAAAGTTAAATAATTTATGAACTTGTCCACACTATATTTGTAAGAATTTGGGTATATTTCAAGAGTTATATAATAGCGATAATGTGAAATAATGCATTCTCTTTATGGCATGTGACTTAATAATTACCGTCTTGGAAACATTTAACAGCTGATAGTAGTTATCTTCTAGCAATATATTTTCTCCTTCGTCATCCATTTTTAGTACAAATAAATAGTGTAAGTTTTAATTTAAAAACAACTAAAATACAAAGTCCTCTTGTCGGCAACTGACAACTTGAGCACAGAGCCACAGACACAGAGTCACAGTGACAGACTGTCTGACAGATTCACACAGATTAAATACGACATAGAGACCAAAGAGTATACAATCACGATTAATATGTATGAAATCAAGTGAAACCTGCCCCTGTCTCATCTGTGACCTGCCCCCCTTGCTTGGCCCCCCTAGTTAAGTTGCACTTTGTGGGTCTAATCAAAATGCCATCGCAAACCATTAGACCCGCTGTGGGTCTAGTCAAAACGCACTTTAAAATCGCAAACCCATCGCAAACCAGTCGCAAACAAATAAACAAATCGCAAAAGAGGTCGATAACAAAAAAGGCTTAGTCAAAAAAAATCGCAAAGCCCTACCTATCGATAATCGAAAGACTGGATTGAAATTTCCCATACAAAGGCTTAGCCAACATGCATTTAAAACTCAATCAAAATCGAATCGAATCGCAACACCCGCCATATGTGGGTCTAGTCAAAATGCCATCGCAAACCAATAGGAAGTTTTCACTAATGTCAGTCGCCGTGTCACCAGTAATTCGATTCGATCGGAAAATGGCAGCCAAAATGCACATTGAACCACCAACGACGCGGCGACATAAAAGTTCATTCAAAATCGAATAAAAGTTAAAAAATGTCTATGACTTTGCGATTGTTTTTACATTTTTTAGCTTTTTTTTTTAATTAGATTCTTCCTTCTTTCTCCTATCTGTTTACGTCTATGCTTCGCTGTCAAATTAGCTGTCAAAACGACATCGCGATACGGATTTGTCAAAACAGCCTTAGGGTGGGTTGCACCATCTTAGTTTAACTTTGACAAACGTCTAAAATCTGTCAAACTCCATACAAAAAACACCGGTTAACGTCATAGTTACGGTCAAAGTTAGGTGGTGCAACTCACCCTATTGGTTTTCGATATAATCGAAGCTTATCACCGGGGTTTAAGTAATCGCAATGAAAATGGCGGGTGTTGCGATTCGATTCGATTTTGATTGAGTCTTAAATGCATGTTGGCTAAGCCTTTGTATGGGAAATTTCAATCCAGTCTTTCGATTATCGATAGGTAGGGCTTTGCGATTCGATTTTTTGCCGTTTGACTAAGCCTTTTTTGTTATCGACCTCTTTTGCGATTTGTTTGTTTGTTTGCGACTGGTTTGCGATGGGCTTGCGATTTTAAAGTGCGTTTTGACTAGACCCAATGTTTTCATTGCGATTACTAAAACCCCGGTGATAAGCTTGGATTCGATCGAAAACCAATAGGGTGAGTTGCACCACCTAACTTTAAACGTAACTATGACGTTAACCCAGTGGCGGGGCAAGACCTAAATTTGATGTGGGCAAGACAGATTTCGCGAGGCCTTGTTCTGTGGCGAACTGAATTATAAAAAAAGTAATAATAAAAAAACAATGAACAATGACAAGTTTTTATTCATAAAAATACAAATTAGATTAATATTTAAAAAAATTTTTTTTGAGGCGCGAGGCCCCTTGTACCGCGAGGCCGTAGGCGGTAGCCCACTTCGCCCACGCCTTACGCCGCCACTGCGTTAACCGGTGTTTTTTGTATGGAGTTTGACAGATTTTAGACGTTTGTCAAACTTAAACTAAGATGGTGCAACCCACCCTAAGGCTGTTTTGACAAATCCGTATCGCGATGTCGTTTTGACAGCTAGTTTGACAGCGAAGCATAGACAAGAGCAGAAAGAAGGAAGAAACTAATTTAAAAAAAAGCTAGAAAAAGTAAAAAAAATCGCAAAGTCATAGACATTTTTTAACTTTTATTCGATTTTGAATGAACTTTTATATCGCCGCGTCGTTGGTGTTTCAATGTGCATTTTGGCTGCCATTTTCCGATCGAATCGAATCACTGGTGACGCGGCGACTGACATTAGTGAAAACTTCCTATTGGTTTGCGATGGCATTTTGACTAGACCCACAGAAACCGAATCTGTCATTTCAACTGGTTTGCGATTTTGTCATGCACTTTGTCTAGCTAGACCTACTGTAAGTAAGCGACTGTAAGTCTAGACAAGTCTATGAAAAAATTGTGGTGAAGAAACCAAACCAAGAAGTAACTTTCGTCGGTTTCGTAAGGTTTTTAAGTTGTTCTAAATCTAAATCTAGTAATAGATGTGGTAATAAATCTTCTGCGAAACTTCTCCTTAAAAAACTACGCATCGCGAAGCGATCACGAAATTAAATCTGTCAAGTCTCACAAATGATTAAATAAATTACAATCTTCACAATATTATATTTAAACAAAATAGTAAACAACCGCCATGATGGGCTGGATTGGGCCGATGTTGCCACATGGTACCGATTCCCCAGGAATTGGGATTGTAATTCCCTGATTCGCCAACACATTAAACCTAACTAAACGGCCGACAATTTTGTGATTTTTAATACAGTGTGTCCGGGCTTGTAGTGATCAAACTTTAAGGGCGTAATCTATGGACAATTTTATCGATGAAAATACTTCAAATTTGGGGCTTGACCCATTTCCCGCAAAATTACGAGGATTTAAGTTTTTAATTTTTAGTTTTCACCTCTTCCTTCAAAAACAAGTGAAAGCGTGGGTAGCTTAACACTAATAAGCTAAAATTTTATATCATGCGATAGCCAATAAAATTATCTATTAGCAGAAGTAGAAAACAAATACAAGTTTCATACATTTTAAGGGAGTAAGAATGGATTTAATTAGAAAAAAACATGACTTTTTTCACTTCTTTTTCAGTTATTTTCCAAAACAAGAAAAACCAGGTCGTTAAGGTATGTTTTATTTGCATTGTATTATTAGTATTTGAGTAATTGATTTAGTTTCGACGTAATTGTTGAACAAAGATACCCCTTCCCAGCGGTTTCCATAGGCCACGTGACATGTGAAAATGCACTGCCTGAAAGAATCACGTCATAACCTATTCCGATTACTATGGAAACCGCTGGGAAGGGGTATCTTTGTTCAACAATTACGTCGAAACTAATAGACGTAGACTAATAAATTTACATTCGTTTTGTAGAATAGCTCAAATACTAATAATACAATGCAAATAAAACATACCTTAACGACCTGGTTTTTCTTGTGTTGGAAAATAACTGAAAAATAAGTGAAAAAAGTCATGTTTTTTTCTAATTAAATCCATTCTTACTCCCTTAAAATGTATGAAACTTGCATCTATTTTCTACTTTTGCTAATAGATAACTTTATTGGCTATCGCATGATATAATATAATATATTTGCTTATTAATGTTAAGCTACCCACGCTTTCACTTATTTTTGAAGGAAGAGGTGAAAACAAAAAATTAAAAACTTAAATCCTTGTAATTTTGCGATTAATGGGTCAAGCCCCAAATTTGAAGTATTTTTATCGATAAAATTGTCCCTAGATTTGGCCCATAAAGTTTGATCACTACATGCCCGGACACACTGTATAATCGTAGTTCAAATATTTAATTATTTATTTGTTTTACTTCTGATTTCGTTAGTGAATGAGGATCAGTACTGTTGTAGAAAATTCAATAAAACTAGTATCTACGTTAATCTTTAAGACATAAGAAAGATATATCTTTTTGAATTATCCAAATCGGACCATTACTTACGAAGATATTAAGTAATAAACATAGGCCGTTTTTGCCGCTAAAAGTCAACGTACGCAAGGCCGCGTGACGTCATTATATCCGAATCGAGCGCAGCCGGCGTACTAATGGGATGGAAAATATTTTTTTCCGGCTAAACTATCAGTTTTAGAAAAAAACTTTTAATAACATTTATTCTTCAAAATAAAGTAACCTATCGACCAGTAATTTTTAAAAATAAAAATTGTGAAAAATAAGTATTGCTATGTCCAAAAACCACATTTTCATAGGATTCGATGCAATGCGGAGACGCGGTTGGGGTGAGTGTAACTTAATGATTGTTTGTATTGAACATAATAATACATAATATGATGCTAATACCCAGTTTCTGGCCTGGGGTATGGATTTTTTGCGTTATTTTTCACAATTTCCCTTTTTTAAAATTACCTATCGATAGCTTACTTTATTCTGATGAATAAATGTCATTACAAGTTTTTCTCTAAAACTGATAATTTGGCTAGAAAAAAATATTTTCTATCCACGCAGTACGCCGGCAGCGTTCGGATCGGATATAATGACGTCATCGTCCCCGCGCAGGGCGGTCAGTGAACTTTTTTAGTAATTTGGCCATAACTTCGTCAATTTTTGTCGTAGAACAAAAATTTTTGCACTGTGTTTTAAGGATTTCTTAGCCCTATAAATCTGCATTCACAGCTAAAAATCGAAATGATCCTCATTGGCTATTTCGAAGAATTTACTAGGATATTTAAATCAGGAGATAGCAATACTACAGTCCACACTAAAAAGAGAGGTCGGCCCACAGAGAGCGAGATAGTGATAAGTAGGTATTTGACTCAAGTTTTTGTTCCAAGTCTGGCCTCCAATGGTACAAAATCCGTCAACGACGTAGCATAGACAAATTGAAAGTGGTTAGAATACTCTTTGATTTGAATTTAATCATCTGTCTGACTGATGGAAGTCTCTCTGTCTTACAAAGCTCTCTCAAAATTTTAATTTATTATGTGGAAGTGGAGTTTACTGAATAACTTACGCCAAATTGTTGCATTCATGTTTAAATAGATGCATAATTATAATCTTGATCGTCTGCTGTACCCTCAGTAGCTGGCTTAAACGAGGTAATAATCCATTCCTATTTACACTTTACGCTGTTTGGTTTAAAAACGGCTGGTTTAATCATAACTGTAAAAAATTCCGATACCTTTAAGTACTTGAACATAGGATAATTTATATCTGTTAATGCTGATGATGCATAAAATCGGCTACGCTAGGTTTTATGTTTAGGCTTATATGGCATGCGAAATGAAATGTGTAGGTGTAAGTTGTTTTCGGCAGCAATGGCTGTTTGTTTTACAAAAGTTATCTGTGTCTAATAAGATCGGAGATTTCGTAAGCAAATACTAGTTTAAAAAATGTTGGTGCGATTTTCACTCTGCGGCAATGGCATGCGAGATGCGTCAGAGATGCACCAATAATTTCACTAAGTACCTATCATCTTGCTTTCCCCTACCAGAAGCATACATTATGCACTCAAACATTGTTTGTGTGAAAGTTTTAAGTCAAAATAAAACAACCGCTCCTTTCTTTGTATTTTATTTATTTTAAATCACATAGCCTGTATATTTAAATTTTTATCCTAATGCATCCACACCTAATGCTTCATGGCAAAATGGGCTTTATGTCTTTATTATGCTTCAGGGTGTTAATATAACATTTCCTTTATGTACCAATCTTAAATGCCCGTTTCCACTTGTTTAATTCTTGCCCAAATCAAGATTTCAACTGTGAAATTTAATTCTGATTTTGATTAAATGTCCACAACTATCAATGTTTACACTTAAATATTGTTTAAATAGTCTTAAACAATATGAAAATGTAAAAACATTGAAAAACGCAGAAATTTTGACCAAATAAATATTGAATTTTGACAGTTGACGGACTGATTTGGATTAGGATTGAATAGAGAAAACCAACTTAAGTAAGTAAAGTTCCTATTTTGACATTTGGATAAATTATATTAGGCCCATTGATGATCACTCATTTAAATAATACTGACAATCCAGTGTACCCAACTTGGAAATAACCAAGAATGAGCTGGATGATTAGTAGGTAGGTACATTTATGGGCAAACTAAGACATTTTTTCTTAACATGGAATTAATTTTTTGTTTGTATTTAAAACTGTTTGGCAGTGCTACTTTAATAATTTGTATTCAATTAGTTCAAACTAAAAGTATGCCTTGATTTTTTTTAAATAACACTTGCCATACTGTACCACTTTATATTTATTTGGAATCCTTGGTGAGATACCTTTATTTCCTATGAATTATTCATTAAATAACTGTGACATCACTCAATTAAACAAATTACTTAAATCATTTTGGTCGTCCTCATCCATCGATGTCCTGGGAATCATAGCACATCGAGTCATCATGATTTTTTGCACTTTCCGTTTTTCCTTGTAACCCACATTAACACTATTCATAATATGAAACATCTTCCTGAATATTAGTATTACTAGCTTTTGCCCGCGGCTTCACATGCGTGAAATTTAGTTTGTCACAGATTGTCATAAATTATAGCCTATATGTTAATTATTAATCTGGGTTATAAACAATGATACTGTAAAGTTTCATCAAAATCCGTGCAGCAGTTTTTGCGTGGAAGTGTAACAAACATCCAGACATCCAAACTGTCGCATAATTATAATATTAGTAGGATGATGCTGCATGCTTATTATTTCATATGCATAGGAATCACATTCACTTCATATTAATAAAAATTGATATAAATTTTAAGTAATGAAACAGTAATAAAATTATTCTTATACTAGCGTTTTCCTGCGGCTTCACCTGCGTGAAATTTAGTTTGTCACAAATCATCATAAATTATAGTCTATATGTTATTCTGGGTTATAAACAATAATACTGAAAATTTTTACCAAAATCCGTTCAGTAGTTTTTGGGTGAAAGAGTAACAAACATGTTAACATCCAAACATCCATGCAAACTTTCCCATTTATAATATTAGTTAGTAGGATTTTAAAGTGCAAATCAGCAGGTTTAAATCTTGAGAATAATAACCTAGCTGTCATAAGGCCAGACAAAAAAAATATATTTAAAAATCAATGTATTGAACTAAATTTTTCTGTAATACTGACAATTTATTTTCTGAAACATGCACCTCTTTACTTTTACTTTACACTTTATTGTGCACTTATTAAATTTGGATTTAACTCTTGAGGCATTAAAGATTTTAATACAATGGCAGCCAAGTTGTTGGAAATAACATGCAATAAATTATTTTAAAAATATTTAAATGAATAAAATTGTGTCTACATTTCTAAAATGTAAATATTTTATAGCATTTAAAACTAAATCCACCATACAATTATTTGCAATGATACAAAATCAAGGGGTTTCCTATTGGAGTGAAAGTTATTGAAGTATTTTGTAATAACTAGGCTCACCTTTTAGGTACTAGCTCTACTTTTATCATGTGTACTGTCATGCATATTAATTTATTGGATTGAAGAGAAATTCTATTTTACTTTATTGTTCACAAATTCTAATTAGCATGCTAGGTCAATCCATTTGTCTGTCAGCTTTAGATTAGAAAATATGTACAAAATGCTCCAGCATCTGAATTCTAAGTTTCTTCTCCAAAATTAACTCTTCTGACTTGGTGTAATCAAACAATATAAAACATTAGTGCAGTTCAGTCAGAACCTCAATGGTATTTTAAGCGCTTTTTGATTATTTTTGAACAAATAATACTTTTTCCAGCTTGAAGAGTGCATACAGCAGCGGCAAAATGCCCTCGACGCATTTGAACCTGCGCGAAGACGACGTGGTGCGCCTGTCGCTCGAGTTTCTCCACAACCGCGACCTGCACATAACGCAGCTGTCGCTCGAGCGTGAAACTGGTGTCATCAATGGTAATTACGCTGACGACGTACTATTCCTACGACAACTCATACTAGACGGACAATGGGACGATGTCCTAGAGTTTATTCAACCTCTCAGCGCCCTTAAGGCTTTCGAAGCTGACAAATTCAATTACGCCATTCTAAGACACAAATACATAGAACTTCTATGTATACGATCAGAAATAAAAGCTTACAATAATGTGGAGAATATAGTCGACGAAGTTGTTAAAGTACTTAGCGATCTTGAAAAATTAGCGCCTTCTAAAGAAGAATACTCAAATCTATGCTTACTTTTAACTTTACCAAGTATTACAGACCATGCACAATTTAAAAAGTGGAATCCTAGTAACGCTCGCGTTCAGTGCTTTCGCGAAGTGTATCCTTTAGTAGAACAATTTTTACCCTGTGACAAGAAATCAAGTGGCACTGTCTCTAAGTGTGCTAAAAATGATCGACTTATGCAATTGTTGATAAAAGGAATCCTGTACGAGTCTTGTGTAAATTACTGCCAAGCTAAAGCTACAGGGTCGGAGACGCAATCAAATGAAGTTAATTTCTCCAGACTCTTAGATGGGTCTGGCTTTGATGAGTCCGATTTGAGTTTACTGTCTTGGCTGCAGTCCATTCCAGCAGAAACTTTTAGTGTCCCTTTCGAGCAGAGAATGTTGAATGTTGATGTCGAAAAATTGGAGCGTCCCTCACTGCATACATCATGGACGGAACACATGCTCGTAACTCCCATCAAGCCTCGCACATTCCCGCATTTAGCGATGCCTTTCCGAAGGCCACGCTCGGCCGCCGACGCCATGACTAGATCGCTGCGGCCGCTGCCCGACGGGGCTCCGAGGCATCCAGCGGTAATGGCGCTGTCGGCGATCGATTACGGTCCATCAACTTCATGTTTTGCCGGATTTCATCTCACTGGCATTAAGGGAAGTAAAATAATGAACACCTCTGTTGATAGATTATTCGATAACAAAAACAGTGAAAGCATTTTTAACGGTTTGAGCGATTCTCTGAAGCCGATCAATGAAAAACTGAAGCCAATCGGCGAGTTCACCGCGTCAAACAAAACTAACGAAGCAAGTAGCATCGGCGCCTCGAATGCTACCACACCGGAACACCGGGGGCAGGACTATTCGGCGTCCACGTCGATTTCAACTACTGCAGCGTCAAATTCCTCACTCGCCGAGCGACCGCCGCAGCAAGCTGAAGCGGCGGCTCTGCCCGGCCCTGACGGGGATTTCAGACGAGAGCTTCTGAAGGAATATCAGATGCAGAAACAACGAGAATGTGACGATTACCTGCGCAACCTACATTCCGCTGATTTACGGCAGCAAAAAACGTATGTACCACATTGCAAGTATATCATTTGTTATGTAGGTCGCTTCGCAGTGTCTTTAATATTCGCTTCATTCCGATTTCAGCATGGACCCAGTTGGGGATGCTGGATCACCGTTTCCACCGCCCGTTAAATATGGCCAGCAGCCGCCAGTTGACAAAATGAGACAAGAACAACAACAACAGTACGCGAGGTAGGTTACGTAAATTATTATGCTATGATTCATTTACGTGTGTTAAGTCATTTTGAATTACGTCACGATGGTGCCTGTATCCTGATAAAATACGCAAACGTTAACAATGGGCGCTACAAGAAATATAATAAATGGTTAGATGGTGGCTCGTGTGCGCTGAATGCGCATCGTGTATCAAACAGCAATAATTTTCTTACGGTGCACTTTCATCGGTAGAGCGAGCAAGCAATTTGCTATGAATGTTTGGTCGCCAACTACTGCTCAGTGCAGTTTTCTCTAACGATCCGATAAATTACAATGTTATATGTACGTATGTTGTTTGTATTATTTGAGAGCCGGAACAGAGGCTCAGAATCACGGTCAACTTTTCTTCAGACGCTTTGCGAATGCGGTGAATGCTAGTCAGTTTGTATTAAGAAATAAAAAGTTATTACTTACGTTCACAAACAATTCATTCGTGTCACTAATCAATAAAATCTCAATTGGATTTTTTGTGATTTCAGGAGAAACGATATGAACGAGATTTCGGAAATCGGCGAGCCGTCCAATGTAAGAATCATTTACTTTCTTATTATGTAGTTAATCCACTAAATATTATACTTTTGAGTGCGATACTTAAAGTCAAAGACTACGTGTTGGTTCTACGAGCAAATTAATAATCATAATGAATGGTAATAAGTAATAAATAACTGGACACAAACTGGTTGGTTACCGACGGAGGTGATCGAACCTTATTTTAATCGCCATACTAAGCTATATACTTTCATAAATTTTTAATAGCATCATTATAAAGTCACGCTCAGATGAGTTCAAAGAGTGATTAAAAGTTTTCAAGTAAAGAACATTTCAACGCCCCGTGTTCATGCACTTTGGTAGAGGTTTTACAAAAAAATTAAACCATTTAAAAATCGTTGGATCTGAATGTTTTTCTTTTAGGACAATTTTATTTGATTTTACATATAGTTTTGTCTGTTTCTGTGCTGTGCGATTGTTCTTTTTTTTTGCTTTTATTTGTATGCAATGTGGTTGTTTTAACTTCAATTATTATTCTATATAAATAAAAATGAATTGATGTTCGTTAGTCTGATTAAAACTCGAGAACGGCTGGGCCGTTTGAACTGATTTTGGTATTAAAATGTTTGTCGTAGTCCAGGGTAGGTCTAAACAGTGAGCAAATACGCGCACGATATTGTTTTTCTGTGACAGACAAAATTCCACGCAGGCGAAGCCGCGGGCGGAAAGCTAGTAAAAAATATATTTTTGACTTACTTAATTACATAACATATTATTATTGTATAGTTAGGGGAGACTGGCCCAAAGCGGGCACCTTAAGGTAAAGTAGGAAAAAAACACACAGAATAAGCAAAACGGAATAAGTTTTTATCGTGATCAGTTACTACATTTATTGTAGTTTGACATGGCGATGTCAAATCATTCATTTGTCTAATATATAAAAAGTAGGCACTCAAATACGAAACACTATCACTTGCTCACTTTGCCCGAGGGGGTGGCCTAAAGCGAGCACCGGCACACGGGCAAAACGGGCATGCAGAGGGCAATAGTTTTTTTTTTTAATTTACTATATAATTTTGACCTTTGAATAATAAGGAATGTCTCTATTCAAACACAGAATGAGAATCATACTTTCTTATAATTTTGACCTTTGAATAATAAGGAATGTCTCTATTCAAACACAGAATGAGAATCATACTTTCTGTATTGCGATAAAATAGATTCTAGACATAAAAATTCATCAAACAACATAAAAATTAAAACATAAAACTAATCAGAAGGAACTCTCTTTGAATAATGCAGTCTTGATTCATTATCTTTTAGTATTTTGAAGCTTTTGAGCTGAAGTATTGCAGCTTCACTCCAAGAACCTTGTTGTGATTTTCTTTTATATTTATTTACCATCTAAAAGTCAAATAATAAGATATTAATGTCGACACTAAAGTCTGTTTTTCTTGGCTTGTCCAATATTGTAAACAATCTTAATATTCCTTTTTAACGAAATAATTCCTTTTAAAATAAGATAAACACAAAGCTCACAACCTACATATTATTATGTAGGTAAGTCATCGTTGAACACCGATATCTTTGCAAATAATTTAATTTATTAATTTTTTTCACTGATATTACTTTAAAAGTTATAAAAAGATTGTTTACATTGTTCGACTAGCAAAGAAAAACGGACTATACCTACACGATAAATATAGAGGACTAACAATAAAAGCAAGTTAGTTTATATGGCTATGAAGAGGGTAAAGTGAGCATGCTCATTTTGCCCTGCTCACTTTGCCTTTTGCACCACACCACGTTTCATAAAACATAAACTATAATTCCTTTTTAATAATTTTCAAGGAAATATCCTTAAAACACGGTTAAGTAGGTGCAACACATTACGCATACATTGATAATAACGTACGTCACTCAGTTTAATCCAAAACACAATTAACATACCTTTGTTTTTTCAAATAAAATTGACGAATTTCGTTTATCGCTGTCCACGCGTGGTGTTGTTACTCGGAGGTGGTGCACACGACTTCCGCGGGAGCGGCGGGGCGCTCCCGCGGGAGCGGCGGGGCGGAGGGATAACGTTAACAAGACAAGACAACAAGTCGAGCAAATGAGTGTAAGTTTAGAGGGGGGTGCCCGCTTTAGGCTGAGTGCCCGCTTTGGGCCAGTCTCCCCTATGTTAAATTAGTAAAAATTACATTGCCCTATTATTATTCAATTATAAACGAGAAACCTGTGAGGATGGATAGTTGCATATTTATTAATATTTTATGCAAAAAGTAAAAACAGATTTTTAAAAACTTAGCATGCACTATTGCCCCAGAATAGTACGTAATTTACAATCTATATATATAAAAATGAAACCCGTTTTCCGTTGTCACGACATAACATGAAAACGGCTTGACCGATTTGGCTGATTTTTTTTTGTAGTTTTCTAATACTCTGTACAAGGTTTTTACGGAAAAAAATATAAAGAAAATCTCTACGCTATGAATGGACGTCGGCTTGTAATATAAAAGAACATGTAGGGCACCAACATTGATGAAATATGAGATAATGCCATTAAAGTTTGCGGTATTTCTTATACGGCATAATTTTCGCAGTTGCCGTTCGAGGAAAATTATAGATAAAAAAATGCATTGACACCTTTTTGGCCTACCTACAAGTCTTGGTATGACTCTAAATCATAAAATTATAAGATTAGGTAGGTAATGTATCTAACGATGTACTTATTATTCCAATTTTATTGATTGCACCAAAGATCGTTACGTAATTTTCATACGAAATTCAATAATGGACATGGC